ACGAGCCTGAAATCGAACTTTTCATAATCTCGAATCGATTAATTAATAACTATAATATGCCTTATCAGATAAGACCATTCAATCAATTTCTTCAAAAAATCAAAGACAAAACATGCAAAATATTCCGGCTCAAACCACTATACAAGATATGAATTGCTTTAAAATTCGGAAAATAACTATGTTTTCGATGTTAAATTGATAATCAAATACAAACCCGATCGACCAGATCACTTTCCGGCACGGCAACAGTTGACAGATCAGTTTTGTGACGTCCTTGTTCGAAGTGAATTTGCTCCTTGATCAATTGCTTCAATACGAACAGCAACAACTCATTATTATCACGATTCACCGTCAAATATTTCGAGAAGTTCTAAAACATTATCGTTACGCAACATACCGTCACGCCATCAACCACAAACACTCCATTCCCCTCCCAAAAAGAAATATTTCTGAAAGATAAGATCATCGAAAAGATGAGTTTATCAAGAAACCTTTGTCATCTGACGCATGATCGATGCTTTCTGTGTGCTGATAAACGATTCAAGCATCACCCGGATGGCCATATTCACATCATCCTCAGAGACATACGAACGTAAATGCATCTTCGCATGAGCTTCTGACAAACGAATCATTGACTCGACTTGTCGTACTGTAATTGCTACTGATCCTGTAGCCTGAAACATTCACTTTGAAGGAATTTGAAGGAAAATCACGCACAAAATTTCTGAATAAATAACATCGCATATAAAATGTTAACGCCGTTGCTATTCCACTTGTATCACCGTTAAAATATGAACAACAATAAGATTCGAAATTGCTAAATACATCTGAAAAAAAGGCGAAAAACTTACGAGTGATTCTTTACGCATCTCAGCGAATATCTTCGAGATTTTATCCTGTGGCATCTGCTCAAGTTTCGGATGGATATGTTCACGAGCATACAACAAGTATTTACGTAACAACGTTTGCGGAATCAGCTCAAGATTCGTCCTGCGGTCATGTTCCGTCTAAAAATGAACAC